CGTACCACGCAAAGCCACGATATATCGCGACAAACGCGACGTATATTGCCCTTTCGACTGTGCCTGGTGCCGGGGATCGGGAACGACGAGAACGACGGGCTGCTACAGAAGTGGATGATGGCCCGATCGCAGTTCTCAGTCCACCACTGACTTCACCTGCGGAGGCGATTCAGTCGGGCGCTGGGCAGTGCGGAAATTGCGAGCCAGGCAGGGTTTCGGGGCAAGACAAGCGGGAGTGGCAAATCGGCGGCTGCAATTATGGCCAACGCAGCTAATCCTGCCCCGCTCTTTGCTGGTCTTATGTCTGGAAAGGTGAAAGCACCTATCGCAGCAACATCGGACAACTCATCTGCCCAAACCCAATCGGCTACTTCTGCGGCAACGGAACAGGCTCCAGAAGGGCACCTTCAGTACCGCTCGAATCAATCATCCTGCAAATGGCAAAACCACGCACACAATATCTTTCCCGGACATACACTCCGCTTACAGCACGCGATTTTCGCTTCTTCGATCCCAATTCCGTCTGCTGCTGCTGCACGGTCTGCGCCTACTGCGAACGGGGTGGAAGAGCCGTTGACAGATCGATATGGTTTCGTCTATGACATTGCACAGTACGATGTCCTTTTGCTCATACGAGCGAAAGAGTGTGGCTGTGCGCACCAGCTTGCTTCACGGGGGTCAAGATTGCAGACTGTGTTGAGGACGACGATGACGAGATGGAGGACGGGCGGGGCATTGACATTGAGATAGTGAGGACGGAATGCGATTGTGGCGGGGAGGACGACGGCTCGTTGAACAGCAACTCGCCGGACAACATGAGTGTCAAATCCAAGACTTCGGCAAAGTCAAAACGACTTTCGATCGTTTCGGCAACGGCGACAACACCCGCGCCGCAACCGAGCTTTGCGATATTGGCTGTAACGGCAGATTCTCCGCGCCATGCATGTGCAGCTACTGTCCGTCGATTGCTTGATGCACTCACAACATTGCATGACGAGCGGCAAACTTTACAAAGACGGGAGTGGGATGTGTTTGTCAAACAGTGTGGCCGGGCACAGGCAACGGCACAGTAGTTAAAGCCGCTGCAACAATTCTTGGACTGGGTACCTCTGACGAGGCGGATGAGCTTGCTCATACTGAAGGTCTGATCGGATTTGCACAACTGGCCAACCGCGACTCGCCGACTTGTCTCCCAATCCAGAAGTCAACGCCGCTCATCTCGCTTGTGCAGTTCAACAAGGTGCACACCGCAGCGACCGCGCACGCACTCGCCGCAGAGTTTCTGCGTGACCACGGTGTGTGGATGCTGCGGGTGCATTTTGAGGGCAGGGACATCAGGAACGACTACTCGGAGACGATAATTGATAAGTCGGAGCTATCGGAGGATGGCGACTATAGCGACGAGTGCCCGAAAACGGGCGAGGAAATTGAAAGGTTTATCAGCGACGAGGTCGTGAGGCTGGGAAGCAGATCTATCCTCGCTGGACCTAGTTGCGTCTCAATCCCCGTAGATCCAGTCCAACACCAACATGTACTAGTCGCGCACAACGGATCTAGAAATGTGAATGTCACCTGCAGCAGTAGAACCATTGTACTCCAAGCAGATCCACCTCAATTTTGGCCAGCGACAATCTGTGTTAGAGAGTGTTGTTAAAATAGATAGTGCTCGTTGACAATCCTGAATATGAATATGAGAATCTTCCTTTGATTTGTTTTAGGTTACACTACGGACATTGATGCATTTTCTGCCCCAGAAAATGCACAGAAAATTTGAAATTTTCTGAAGATCTTCTGAAGATTTTCCGAGGATTTTCTGTCACGGAAAATTTAGAATTTTCCATCAATCTTCTGAGAATCTTCTGGAAATTTTCCGGGTCAGAAGATTTCCAATTTTCTGTCACAGAAAATTTTCAGAAAATGTAGCACTCGGATCTGTGATCCGGCCGATAATATTTTTTCCGGCATGCAAATTAGCTATCAAGGCAATCAGCCGGCATACTTAATTAACTTCAATCCCCATTTGCTTCAATTACATTACATTGACCTGCAACCAGTATAATACATGGTATAAGGCTTTGCACATGCATGCTATTTCCTACTAGCGCCCGCACACAGCCTTTGAACTGGTCCGCCGCACGTGAAAGTCCACACACTAATGACCTCATCGAAGTTGGCGACGATGGTGAGGAGCTGGTCTTGAAAGCGGTAGACTGTTAATATAGACATTGGGGCCCTGTTCATCACTATCCTCGAGGTGGGCATTTCAGTTCGACATTAGAACTTGCGCTCCAGTCAGATTCAGCTCCAAGCCCGCTTCCTGGATCTCGCCAGTCAGCCTGTCGTTGGTTTTATACTGAAGACGAACCAGAAGATGAAGAGAACACTATCAAGATTCAAGTCTTGAACCTTGTGCGCCTCCTTGCTCTCGCTAGCTACCGCATCCTTTTCAGAAGACACACTAGGTTTCGACAGTTTAAGGCCAAATGATCGGTGGATATGGAGATGAAAGAGCAACAAGGAGCCTAATAGAATAGCACATTGTAGCAGCACCATACGCTACACGATCTTTCAGTATAATCGCGCTGGGGGAACAAACACCCACCAAGCCAATTCACTCCGCTAACTGGGTCTTTTGCGACTCGATAGTCTCCTTGGGCTCGACCAGGGTGGTAGTCTGTCTTGAAAAGTCTTGATGACCGGGCTTGTTGCAAGCGATGCTGTGCTTTTGCGGCCGTCCTGACGAAACCCGCATACTCCCGCACCACCAGATCGCTCAACCGCGCCTCCTCTTTGGCGCTCTCCAGTTCCCGTTATCCACCAGTCCCCGTTGGCACTCCTTCTCACATGTTCATCGCGAAAAGAGCCGCGTTGCACACCCAGGCTATGGAGACGGCGCAGAGCATTATACACATCGTTTCTGAGCACATTATAATTAGCAAACAATCTTGTGATGATTAATCCCGCTTACTTCTCGGTGGGGATAACGCATCGAATGGCGGGCAGCTCTCCGAATGCTCGAGTATAGCTCCCACCCAGGCACAATGCGGGTCTTCGAAAGCACCCAAGCACTGTGGAACGAGGCTGGGGGACTTGTTTGCTGACGTTCTCGCATCGAGTCGTTCATATGTAGCGAGTTTGTCAGCTAAATCACTTGCTCGTGTTCGTGCAATGGCCTTCAGCAAAATCGACCGTTGGTTGGTACCGCCCATGTCCAACACTGCATGGTAGAGCTGTGCGTCATCGCTGCCAGTTATTCCCGTTATCGTAAGTTGGGCGGGATCCCCAGCGATTTCTAGCGAGGCTGGGGTCGGGCTTCTCGATGAGCAGCCACTACAATTTGACAGCCCGTCGAAATGGTCACGACTTGGAGGAGTCTCGACATCTTCCATTTTGTCAGAGTAGTCATCCGAGTCGAAGTCGTCATAATCTTCCTCGTCATCCTCATTGTCGTCGCTTCTATCCGAGTCCGTCGACAGCATCTCAAGCTGCTGACGAGATAAGTATGAGACGCATGTCCGCTATGGGTAAGCTGAGAGAAGAACTCCCAGTCCACCGCACGTGCTATGAAGTAGTATTATATGGGCAAATGCCGACTCCTCCAAGGTCGCATCGTGGGCTGTCGACAACTCCGTTTCGGTCACGGGTGGAAATCTACAGACATTCACGATCCAAACACAGAGCCCCACACAGTTCAGCGAAAGCGGCGACTACCCCAACTGGGGCACGGCCGTCTGGTCAACATTGAACGCAAATGGGTTGACATGGCAGAGCGGCGATAATGCCTCCAGGATGCGAGCCGCGTTCGTTTATAATGGACAGCTCTCTAACCTGAACAACGCCAACTTCAGAGCTATCAACAACGGATGGTGCGTAGTTGAACCTGAACGAACTTTGTCTTTGGTCACCCCATGAATCATGGATTTCTTTAGGCCCATCTTCGGTTTCTCCAACAACCTTGGTTCTGTTGGAACTTCTTTCTCAGCAACATTAACATACGTTGTCGGGCATGTTCGTCCTCATGATCGAGTCTGGAGTCAGCGACGACGGAGAGGGCCGTTCGTGGCCACTGCCGCTGGTGAGCAGTATGGTCAACCAGGGTATCTACAGCACCGCAGGCGAGCTCCAGCAAAAAATGGGTGTTGCGAGGGACAAGTTTGGGGGGGGAAGTGATTGAAACTCGCAACTACCGTGCAATGACAGAGGATTTGGTGCCGCAGGCTCGCTCTAGCGAGAAATGGCTGTTGCGGGGGCAAATTGTGGGAGCGCAACACACATTGTATGGGCAACATCTGCAGCTTAGGATTCACGTTGGCGTGTGTGCCCCAGATCAATGCCGCTGGTGGGTAGCATCGTCGGCTTCAACGGCGCCGCAGGCGAGCTCCAGCAAAAAATGGCTGTTCGGGCGAGGGGAAATGGTCTGGGGATAAGAAATGAGAAGGTAAAACATGAGAAAGAGTACAAAACTTACCACAGTCGTTGGTTCTTCTGGTGAAGCGTTGGCATGAGCACAGCACTGTTGCGCAGGAGAGCGACTGTGTAAGCAAATGGCGCCGTCAATAGTGTTGCGCGGCGGTTGTAAAGATATCCGGACACCCCCAGTAAGAGCAGCCCCTGTAAAGGTCGGTTCGGCGTCGAGGGACGAGCAGCTGGTTGTTGTTGTTGATGCCGGTGCGAGATTGGCGTAGTCGACCCCGCGATTCGGGCACGTGCTGCCGGCCGACAGAGCGTTTTGGAAGGGGTCAACGTCAACGCGTGGGGACCTGCGGTTTGCGTGGTGGATAAGAGGAAAGACGTGGCTACCCGGTTCGGGCACGTACCGGCGGCGGACGGCTCGAGGTCGGTGGCGAGGAAATGGCGCACCACAGGTTGGCAGTGCAATAGACCATTTCCAAGCTGAACGGCATCGTCGGTGTAGTCTAGCAGAACACATCAGTACATTTCCCGTTTGTGCAGGGACAAAAGCCTACACCTAAACTCTCCAAAATGCTTGTACAGAACGCTCAAAGGAGCACATCGCTCCAATCTTGAGCCTGCACGTACTGCTTCCACGTGCGCGGTTGGCGAGCGAGCCCCTCCTGCGAGATCACAGTGCCTTCCGAAAAGTCTATCGAGCAAGAAGTTAGTATTCATCAAAATGGAAAAGAGAAGGAAGATCGTACATCCAAACTCGCCGACAGATGTGAAGACCTCTTCGATGGCCAGCGCAATATGTGGCGGAGTACCGGCACTCTTGACTCCTTCGCCAAAGACTGCAGATGGTATCTGGTTGAAGACGACCTTCTTGCCAGTCGCTGGAGAACGATCAACCATCGAAACAGAACCACCTTGCGAAAACGTCACCCTCCGAAAGCTGCTTCGTCTGGTCCTCAAAGCTGATCAGCTCGCCAAACGTCGCCCACGTCTGTTTGTCAGGAAAGACCGGCAGCTCGAGTGCCTTACAGACAAACAGGCCATAGTCTCGCTCAGCGTCAATAATGGGCATCCGCGTTGTCGGGGGCAGGGGAAGATTGACTGCCCAAGTGTCCTCGGAGATTTTGACTGGACGCATGAAGGTGCGCATGTTGCTCGCGTACCCGCCAGCCTGGATGTCGACCGAAAGGGACACCAGAAGCGCGGCCGTAGTCGGAGACGCGTGGCTTTGCTTTCAAAATGGCCCACGTTCTTGTATTTGCCGCCAGACAGAGCGTCGATGCTGGGCAGCCCGGACCAGACGATGCCCTTGACACCTGCGGCTTTTGCAGCGTCGATCATGAGCTTGCCTTCGGTGGTTTCCTGGAGAGAGTTGATGCAATGAGTTGAGGACTGTAACAACTCACTCGTGGTGGGTCTCCGTGTTCCGCCCAGTTGGTGACAAGCTAAAGAGCATATAAGGACGAATCTGACAGAGAAAGGGTAGCACACACGAAAGTATAGTCCGCCCCTTCAAACGCCTTGAATACGGCACCGCTATTCTCCACCGACAATGCTACCGCGACCACCTCGATGCCCTTCTCCGCCAATGCTTTCGCCGCGGGTTTCGACTCGTCACGGGTGAATGCGCGAATTCGATATGGTTTGTCGGATTCGGTGAGGGCGAGGACAACGCTGTCGCCTTGGGTCCCAGTAGCGCCTACAACAGCGACAAGAGGAGCAGCAGGGTCCTTGGTGATGGTCATGGTCAGAAAATACGGTGAATATCGGTGGCTCTGTAAGCTCAGTAAGCTGGCTCCTTATAAAGCAAGACGTCAGACTTCGACGATACCACGGGCACACACGCGTCGACAGCACCGCTGGTGGCGCCCGCGCCTTCCACCCTCGTAATGTGCAATGAGTTGTCGTGCCGGGGGTATACGTAGGATTTGTTTTCAAATCGAGGCCAAAGTCGATAATGATGACGCGTCACTCTCTGCCCGCTGCGAAATGTCCGATGAGACTGGATGAGAGACGGGTAACCGGAACATGTTTGAGAGATGTCCGCAGGTAGCGATAAGTGGGCTGAGTTGTTGACTCGTCGTGGTAGTCAGCAAAGGACGGTGTGATCGGGAATTGGCACGGCGCATCATTTCTTTTTTTCTGACCACCAACAATGCTTACAGCTCGCACATCATGCTTACTGTGGAGAGCAACGGATAGCGAGCCATATCTGCATTGTTTCAGAGTGGAATACTTTTGGTTAGTCTTTTAAATCAAGACTCCGAGTAACCTCCTCACGCACTGGTCGAAAAATCATTTGTCTTCTCCCACCAAGTGGTCCGAGGCCTTCTCTCCCACACCTTTAGTCGCCTCTGAATCAGCAACGCTCAGCCGAAGGTGAAAAATCAGAATGTGGAGCGCCGGTCTACCGCAGGTGCGTGCCTGTTTCCTGTCTTTTCCGACATGCAAGCTGAAGGCGCCAGGTCAATGGTGTCGGTAGCGCTGCAAGCAAATTATCGCGGGGATGGCTGGTGAAGGAGAAGACCAACGCGGCCTGATAGTGCAGATATGGTGTAAGCAACGGGAACAAAAGATGAGTTTGAAACTTACGATGGTGGGAGAAGGCAGCGCACTGCCGCCAATATTTGCGTTGAAAGTTCTCCCGTATGCGGGCCTCCGGCGGCAAAATCCTGGAAAAAAATTACGGTTATAACGCGTTTTTCGCGTCCAAATGACGTCCCAGAATCGTCGGAAAATGGGCTGATCGCATCATTGATGGCGTAATTTGGAGCGAGACGACGCGACGTGTTCAGGATACTGACCTTGGAATCAGTTATCTTGCAACGAATAAGGTGGATTTACCCACCATGATCAAGCACGGCCAGGGAGCAGAAACAGGAAGAACGCTGGGCCTCCTGCTGTCAAAATTCTGGCGCCAGGGCGAGCTCCAGAAAATAAACAGTGCTGTGGGGCAAGATTTTCGAGAGAAAATGGCGGGGTCTGCGGGAATTGATGATGGCGTCGATGGCAGCAGCAAACTCGAAAAAAATCAGAGCTTGGAAATCACTGACGGCGAGGCAGCCTGCGCTGTGCCTCCTGCCGTCGAAACCCCGGCGCCGCAGGCAAGCTCCGGAAAATAACCAGCGCTGTTGGGGGTAAGATTGTAGAGAGAAAATGCTTTGCGGCCTGGGTCTTGATGATGGCGTCGATGGCGACGCAAGAGTTGTTGTTGTGAATCCAAGCTTGTGTCATTATCTGAATGCTAATTTAGCGTTTAGACGTGAGGATAGCACAGAACTCACCCAAGAATCGCGCTGAGCGATATTTCTACTGGTTTCGGGAGGATGTTGACAGCGAGGCATCACAACGGCAGTTGCATTGTTGGCGGTGCTCGATGGACAAACCGGAAGGGGTGAAGTTTCATCTGAGGGAAAATGAGCATTTGAAGGTGAAAACACAACGGAACTTACCATCAACACGTTCACGTACCGAACAGAATAGCGCCACAGACGAGTGCTGGTGAAGAAATACGTGCTTCAGGGGCGAAATTTGGCAAGACCGTGGGGCCGAGCAGGAAACATCAAGCCAGGAAGGAAGACGTGGAGCGAAAATGCGGAGCTGATCATGAGGCTGTCGTCCTTTGGCCTGGGGCTTGGTCTCGTACAGACACGACCGCGTTCTCCATTGAAGATGACGGGTTGGAACACGGAGGGCAGAGGAAGGTGTGAGTTTTAAGTTTGGGAGCAGCATTGAGAAACTGACTTAATTCAAGGCAAATTCAAGGCCGGAGTGTCAGGTCACTTGATGGGGCCGATTACCGATTAAGTAATCAGTGTTTCAAAACAGTGTAACACTGTGACATGCTGCTTACAGAGTACAATTGTCTGCAAAGGTACTAGTATGTAAGCAGCTGGATTTGCGGACGAAGAGCCCCTCACCACCTGCCAGTCCTCGAAGGCACCACACCCGCGCACAGCTCCGTTGACTCTCCGCCTTCCGTCAGAGTTGGTGAAGAAAAAGGGGGTCACGGGCCGGGCTCCCGATTTGGCTCCGTTGACCGATCCACAGCCACACGGACAAGTTACAACTTGTCAGAAACAACGATGGCGGCGGGGAAACGTCGCTGCCCGCAAGCTCTTGTACTTCAACTCAAGCGCCGCAGCACAGGGTGCTCACAGTCAACGCCAACTGATATCTAGCAGGTCGTCCCTTGGTTTCATCCGCAAAAAAGTGGCTGACGGTGAAAAAATAGCCTCCGTCTAGTCATCAGTCATTCGCGATTAACATCGACATATATATATAGCGTGCCCCGAGGCATCTGTGTCGTCTTCATCCCACTCCCCCTACATAAATGACCGACTATCCTATTTTCTCATTCGAAACGACGGCAGATGAAGTAGCGACTCACTGGCAAGTGACGATGATTCATCATATCCCCAGGTTGGGTACGCTGCTGTCGAAATCAACGCCTATACCGAGTCTCTCCACGTCGTCGTCCATAACGCCGCCGCTCCAATCGCGCGATATAAACTCACCGTTGACGGTCTCGAGAATCAGATCGCGGTGGCCCAAGCTGATGTCGTCCGAAAATATAACAATGCGACCGCGATGATGTTCGTCTCGTCTCCCTATATGCAGGCTCATTCATACTTCGCAGCTTGGAGTCTGGTGCTATCATATCGGCGTGGACCGTCATCTACGTCATTCTCCGCTCGATGAATGTGCCGGACGTGAGGTTAACTTGGTCCTCTTTTGGCTGCGACTGATATTTGGAGACAGACGGTTTGGCGTGCTTTCCGTGGTGGCCTGCCCCAGCTGCTGGTACCTGCTTTTTCTCCTTATATCGCTCGCTGATCCATGCAGAACATTGTGCCAACGCTCATCATTGTTCGCGTGGGCCTGGGGCACGCGATTGACGCGCGGACAACAACATCAGGGACAATAGTCTCAACGTGGAAGACCAAAGGCTCCACTTCTGCTGCTGTATAACAATATTTGTAACCATTCCTGTGTACTTGTAGTACTTACTTATTGTGTCTTTATTACCTGCAATGCCGAGCACTGCGTCGCCGTCGTCACTTTCTCGGTCTTGCTAAGGTTTCCGACCCTTAGCTAGAGAGCATCACAAGTGTTCGGTTGTGAAGTTGGCCATCTTCCGAACACAACCCTTCCGGGTAAACGTGTCCATCTCAGCAACGTCGTGTTATCACCGTCCGGCCCGGCACTACCGACGTGACGATGACGCTGTCACATCTTGTCGACAATTTCTCTTTGACCAATTTGTTGACCAACTGTACGGTCGGTTGCTGAAACTACCGCTGCTCGCGGCGAGTGACCCTCGGCCATGTTGAGTTATATAGCGCGGGAGACGATGGGGCAGGCCTCGAATGGACACGGAGAGCTCGACTTCAACCAAACGAGCTCTACCGCGAAATCAAGCATGCTACCCTTGCCGGCACCGTAGAATTCTCAGTCCCTCAATCCATGCAATGAAATCCTCCGACGTCGACTGCAGAGATGCGATGGACAGTGCGTGTGTTTTCATTGCATTCGTTGAACATTCATACCCAAACTCTGTTGGTTTGTTTTCCCAGACGGCCCGTTTGCGGCCAATGTCGACGCTCGGCACGGGAAGAGGACTGTGAGTACACGGACAACTACTCGCGCGAGGGCAGAGGTTCTTGAGGAAGACATCAGTCGGATTCAGTTCCGTATTCATCAGCTCGAGCATCCACAGGAAGCTAAAACGGACGTCATGTTGCTCGATCCGTACTAGTATAAGCAGGTCACCCACCTTCGAATGCCCGGTCTGCATCAAGTTTAGACGCCTCGACTTCGTCAGCCATGTTGCTTCATCCACCAAGCCGCATTCCAACACCCGACGCATGGTGGACCGCTGAAGAACTGCCGCTCCATTTGGCCAAGAATCTGTGAAGGAAGCTCATCTTTCCTCGATTTTCATCTTATAGCTCCCTTAGACTTGACAAATTCATGACTTCAGCTCCGTCGTTTGGCTTCTTTCTGGACCCTGAGCAAGTCTACAACGCCTCCATGCTGTCCGTGCCGATAAATCATCATTCTCGTCCCTACGCCTGCCCTTACTTCAGCAATATACCTTGCGGCTATCTCCATTTCACCATCTCCATCCCTCAAAATGCATGAAGCCGTTTTTCGCACTCGTGCTCTGTCTTCGGCAAGCAATGCACTCGCCGGGCTTCACCCCAAACGCGTACTACACGCTCTCCAGGCCGAAATAATACTGTCCTGGTACTTTTACGGGGTGGGCAAGCTCCTCGAAGGCCTGTATCACACCGCGACTGCTGTATCGCTCGGTGTCACGAGTGACATCTACTCTATGAGGAACGGGCATGTACGGCCTGGTGCAATGCTGCTCGCTGACTCAGACGCCGATGGCGAAGAACACGTCAACGCCTGTTGGGCAATCGTCGTTCTGGATCGTGCCTGGTCGGTTGTCATGAACACACTCCCGAATTGGACCAATCCTATCGAAACTCCATGGCCGGGCACCAAGGTGGGTACTTCTTCGTGATTTTACAGACGCTGATTAACTGGTTCAGGTCTCTGGGATGACCGACATTGTACAAACCTTCCTCGCTGTAGGCGACCACCAGCCGCCCAAGTCCTCAAAGGAACTACTTGCCAAAGCCGCTGTGCTCTGGGAGGCTGCGAACCATCTAGTTACCCGATCTGAGTGGAAACCTGGTACTGGCTCTGAACTCCAATTTGGACACAGTTCTGACAT